TATATTATATAAAACAAAATTAAATATAGCAGCCAAAATGCTTGGGGAAAAACTGCTATGATATCTAATTTCAAAAAATTCAAAATTTGAATGTTGGTTTTTTTTTTTTTTTTTAAATAGGATATATATAAAAAAAAAAAAAAAAAAGAAGTTAAAAAGGTGTACTACTTTCTCATGAGATGCACAAAAACATTGAATTTAGGGCACTACTCATTTAATACTCATTCACTGTCATACCTAACACACTGTTTGGCTTCTGCATCTCTGCATGTGCATGCCCTTTTATCAATATGTGTGTGTATCTATCTGTCTGTGCACACATACATATGTATGTCTACATATATATACAAATACATACAGAGTTAAAATCTGTATAAGCATCAGTCAAATACTGATGTGGCACACTTGATCAATTAAAGTTCCCAAGAAAAGAAAAACAATTAATTTGTATTTGTATGTATTAGTGCTGGGCATGAGTCGGTTTTATCACACAACTCACCCAATTTTTTCGACAGATAATTAATCGACTCATATATAAATGGATATGTCGGTAGTTTTCAGCCTACTCAAAAATCAGTTGGTTACTAGTTATCGACCAACCGACATTTGTAATAATAATAAAAAAAAATTGTAAATATTTAATTGTAAATTTTTATTTTCTTAATGTTCAATTATATATAAAGTAAGTCAGAATTCAAAAATTCAAAACACAAATCTATAAGCCTCTACGTACTATTTATATTTTATAATTCTTATTTCATATTAATCTATTCTTCGTTAATTATATATTTACTTATTTTAGAAGTTTAATAATTAAAAAAACGACTCTTAATTTTAAAGCTAAATTTTTTTTTTCACATTAGTTTTTCTAAAATGTTGAAAATTTTCTGAAAAAACATATAAAAACACTCTATTGTTGCAAAAAAAAAATCAGTAAATAGATGGCCGATAATTCCAATCAACCAACCAACCAACTCATTGTTTACTCGACAAAGTCGGTTGCCAACCATTATCTGACCTATAATGGTCAAATCGTCATGGTTTTCAATATTCGGCAAAATTAGTTGGTCGAATTGAATAAGTAATTGGTCCAAAATTGTCCGACCCGAACTATGTCCGGACCATAATGTGTGTGTGTGTGTTGAGATACAATTAAGGCAAAATTGGTTAATTGATGATTGCAGCAAAAAGTGGGGGTAAATCATATTCTATTTCCAATCAAGAGACAATGATTAAATTTCCTAGTTACAATACCGTTAACTTACTGCACATGTCACTTCATATATACCAAATTAAAAGTTCATGAAAAGTTTTTCAAATGTTTCTTTTTTCTTTTTCTTTTTTTTCTTTTTTGACTAATTTTCAAATGTATTAACTATATAATTAATAAATGCTCTTATATTTAATTTAACAAAGATGAGTATACGGTTAGTGTTTTTTTTCTTCTTTAGAAATATAATTCAACTCAATAAAATTAAGGGTTCTTGGTGTACACAATATTTTCTTGATATGAAATACTAATTAACCAATTTGTTAACATAAAATTTTGCCAAAGTCTTACATAGAAAAAAATTGGTTTGTTGTATTTATCCCTTTTTTCATAGTTATTGAACTAGAATTCAATAGGGGTGTTCATTCGGTAATACCATAATGGGATTAATTCAGTTTTTTCGTTTCGGTACCGATAAAATTGAAAATATATTTTAATATTTTAAAAAATGTAAATAAATATATATTAAAACTAATTAATTCTTGAATTTGACATTCAAATTTCAATTATCTGCCCTAAAATCAAAAGGTGATTACAGATAGACGCGGATTTGTAAATAATGAAAATAAATTATCAATCTAAAAGTATTTTTATAATATATTATAATCTTAAAGAATTTCAAATAAAAGAAAAAATATTAATTATTTTAGTATTTGGTTCGGTGTACCGCCGTCAATGCAGCATACAGTACCGGAAATTCCAAAAAGTATTTACTGAATACCGAATCGAAATATTTACCACATTCAACATTTGTGATCTTCGTTCCCCAAAAATTTCAAACTCATTAGCTAATGTTTCTTTTTTATTACACTATTACAAACACCGTTCAAAACTTTGTATTTAGAAAAATGCAAATAGCTAAATTTTTTTTATTTTTTTTTCTGTATATTCGGTTAAAAAAAATAATAAATAAATAAATAGTAAGTTAGATCCAAGTATAATTTTCCACTGGAAATTTGTGTTGTCTCGTTTACTTTATGTACACAGATTCAAATACAATTAATCTTTGAAACCAAACAAAACATAAATAAAATCCCAGATACAATTAATCTTTATCGTTGACTGACTGCGCACGTACGGTACACCAATGTTTTCTGTGTGCGTGTGTCTGTATGAGAGAGAGAGAGAGAGAGAGAGAGAGAGAGAGAGAGAGAGAGAGAGAGAGAGAGAGAGAGAGAGAGAGA